ATATGATTCAGAGATAGCTCAGGTATAAGGTAAAAAAAAAAAAAGTAACACCTTTGATGTTTTACATTACACTTCAGTTATTCCTTGAGGGGCAAATTCTCGTCACCTTACCCAGGTGAATATTGCACTCGGTAATTTGGTCAAAAACATTCCATCAACCTTCTTTTTAATAGAAGATGTTGGGGGGGGGGGATTTCAACTTGATGGAGATTTCTGCCAAAAAGAAGGAAAAAGAACAGGTAAATCCATGTTTTTCTTCTTTCAACAACCAGAGAAAAAAAAATCGGGAACAAAAAGCTGTTTTGGAGGGATTTTCTAACAGGACAATAAAACTGGTCTTTTTTTTTTTTTTTTTTTTGCCAAAGCCTAAGGAGAAACACCAATTTCCCAACAATTGCAGTCTCCATATGGCACAGCTATTTCTAGCTGAGGCATCAGTCATCCATGTACCATCAGCCAGGTCTGACTCTCATCTTGGCACTCTCGGGTCAAGCTACAAAATGAGGCTTCGTCCCTCTTACCTTGTGTGCCACCAGAATGAGACCGACAGGACCACCTCCCATGAAGAGCAGGGCAGGATTCAGGTACATAGCATTCAAAGTCAGGTGAGATCTGCAGAGCTTGTGGCTCTACCTCAAGAAGTCTGATGAAGATTTTCCATTGATAGAAATACAGTGAGGGCAAGGGCAGGATATCTGTAGTTTCCCTGAATGCTACTACATCTTTTGAACTATTCCTAAAGACATCGGGGAAAAATTCCCCTCAGTCAACGTAAAAAAGGCAGTAATACCTTCTGTGCAGGCACAACATACTGTGGCCAACTTTCATGGACTTTTTGAGCGACAGCACAAATCAAAAGCCTCCTCCTTCAGAGGAGATGCAAACCACAGTCCATGGCCAGTGGCAGTAATTGAAGCCCTATTTCCAAAAGAGTTGGCGGGGGATGAAACCCAGTGTGGATGGCTGTGTTCTGCCTCTTGAATCCCCTCCCACCACCCCGCAATAGACTCGGTGTGTTGCTGGGGGTGGGGGGTTTAACTTCACTGGCACAAGAGTTTCCTTTGTTGATGGGAACTGGGTCTCCTTTAGGGGACTGGGCCGATCCAGCTGTACTGGCAAAGCCTTTGTACTGTGGAGTAGCTCAAGTGCAGACCTGCAGTGGGTGCCTGCCTGAACCTTTGCTGGCATGTCGATAAGGCCAGCGCTGAGCAAAGTTAAACGACCCCGTGCTGGAGAAGTGCCACACGTAGGAGCCAGCAAGCATCTGCGTTACTGATCCAACGTGTGTCTTGAAATGCCTTTGGACTGTACCTCTTTTCAAGCAGGAACCGCCTTTTGCAGCAGTTTGTGTGTCCAAACCTCGGCTGGAAGAGCCACAGTCCCTGGGTGGGAGCGTCGAAGGGTACAGGCAGAGGTACCAGGTGGTTGTGCTTCCAGTCCGCAGCACGACCATGGTTTCACATCGAGTACGGCTGCGTTGCATCAGTCTTTCCCAGTTGAGGAGGCATCTTTCTAGATGCCTAGAAGCTGTGGAGAAACCAAGCGACGATGATACTTCTTGTGACACGTAGCTTTAGTATCTAGCAGTTGGGATTTGTGGGCTCCCAGCTACCCCCCATGAGGTCACTGCTCCCTCAAAGCCAGAAGAAGTCATTTTACAGGGCGATTCCTATGGCTGCCAGAGCAGAGAGGACAGAGGCCTGAAGTCTGAGCCTTTCTCCACGGGAAGGACATTTCTCCACTGACTTCCCTGGGAGCAGGCTATATGCCCTGTGCTGCTGGGCTGTCACCTGACCCGGGCTGGGAAGAGACTCATTGTCATGGAGAACTGCCCATCCCAAGCATGGCCTTGGCATTTAGAGGGGAGTGGGGACTCTCAGGGTGGGACCAGCAGGCTAATTGCCTTTTTCTTCCCCCTCCTTCAGTGGGGGAATCGGTAAATCCCCAAAGCCCATGACAATAGCCCTGCTGCTTTTAAGTGCCTTTCATTAAACTCAATCCTCTTGCCCTCCCTCTCCCAGGATTTACCTAAAGAAGAGTCTCTTTCAATGACAAAAGGAAACCTAAAAGGCTGCCATTAGCTCATTCACTTGGCTCCTCTCTGCAGACTAGGTGTCTATTTGCTGAAATCTACTCTCAAGTGTCCCTTGGGCAGGTTGCTTTATCATGAGCACACCAGCCTTTGGGGTGGTGTGTCCGCAGGAGGGGCCACAGCCCCTGACTCCAGCTGAGGGCTCACTTTCCCTGGAGGGGGCAGGATTTGGTGCTAAAGGCAGGAAAGGTGCACTGGGGACAGTTAGACCTGCCAAAACCTTCCCAGAGCCCACCATCATCCTGCAGGAGCGGGGCCGGAGCTCTGCGGTGGGTGAATCCTTCCCTGGCTCTGCTCTGGCAGGCTCTGGCTATGCCACCACCCAACCGATGTGGCACCAGAAGGTCTGTTGAGCCATGGGATATTTGCTGAGGACATACCACCAGAGGCAGACCACACAGCAACACAAATTCGCCACGGATTCGGGATCCTCAGGAGCAAATGTTTACGGGTACTGTCAGCAGAAACATACAGCTGATGGAAGTGGCAGAGGGTAAATCCTGAAATAAACCTTCTGGCTGGAAGAACATGAGCTGGACACACACAAGTGTCTTACATTGGCCCACTGCTTGCTAAGGTCTGACAACAGGCTGGTGGAGCAGAGAAGGGGTGCAATGGTCACTTAGATACGTGAGTAAGCAGTTCCTGGCTTACTTTAGGACCGGCTCTAAACCTTTTGAAGGTGCTGGGAATCCCTCCACTGCTTTTAGATGAAACTCAGCAGCCCAAAACCCAAAAAAAGCCATCCCACACCTGGTGCGATTGAACCCAAGCAGGACGAGACTGACCACCTTGTCTTTTTGCTAGTGGCAGTCTGCCCTTTCCCTCCCATTATCACTACCACTGCATCACCTGAGATGCAATTAAAAATCAAAACACGGAGGAATTATCCCTAAAGCCAGGAAGATGGTATCAGTGCTGGGAAGGGGTGAGCGAGAGGGGGATGAGGTGGGAGTTGCCACCCGCCCACTGGTCTCAGCTATTGCACAAACGGCGGTTGTCCAGTGCTGGGGAAAGTACTTGGTCCCGATCCCAAGCACATGGAAGTCATCTGACGTTTCATCACGGCTTCATTATATTTTGGATCAGGCCAGCAGTTTGCCTTGCATCACTAGCCCGTAGGTTATGCAGGTAGCCAGTGAAGAGGTGCTACATCACACTGCCAACAATTTTGTTTTCTGAATAGCCTGCAGGGATGGCCTTACATCACAGCAGATGCATATATGTTAAATAGCTGCAATTTCATGCTTAACTTCGTTACTGATGCTACATTCCTCATGAAGACAATTATATTGACGCTCTGCCCCGCACACAGCACCCAACAAGTGGCTTATGCAAACAGCAAGAATTGGGAGCCGATCAGTTTTGCATAACGGCTGCTGAGGGACGGGAGTCTCCTTTTCCCAGCAGCGGTGAACCAGGGAGGATTCTCGGGAGTGCCTGCTCACAACAGGCCGGTCCCACTGCTCATCCAGCACACCCCTTTTGAGCAGGTGCAATCCCATCGGAAAAAAAACCCCAACCTGATATGCAAAAGGGATCGAGCCAACAGTCGAGCTCACGCTTCGTACCTCCTGCTAGCTAGCACCATGCTGGAACCAGCCCCGCTTCTTTTACTTTTGCAAGCTTTTATTTTTTTTATTTTTTTTTTACTAAACCGGGCTGAAAAAGGACAGTTGTAATTCAAACTGTTGACAAAAACAAACAAACAAGCCCAGAGTGCCCACTCTGCCCAGTGAGACTATGAGAGGCTGCAAATCAGCTCAGAAGCGTCTCCTTTGGGCCCAGAGCAGGATTTTTCCGTCTTACTGCGCAGATGAAATTGTTCATAAATCTTTGCACCTTTTATCCCAAACCACGTGAAAGCAAAACCTGTCTCCCACAGAGTTTTGAAATACCTCAAACATACTGAGGAACAATCAGGCAAAAGTCTAACAATTGTTAACATTTTATTCCCAACAGCTGTTCAGCCTGAAAAGTTTCATTAATACACTAACGAACAAAAACAAACCCAACAAAATTCAAAACAAATAAAACAACAAAAAAGAAGGGGAAATGAAGTAACATAAACTTTAACAAAGTTTAAAACATTATAAATAAGTACAGCTCCAGAGCATAATTTACAAATATAAAACCACATAGAAACATATGTACAGAAGAGTTACATTACGTACAAATATGTATAAAAATACCCCAGTGTTTATTCTCGCGCTAAAGCTGCATGGCTAGAGTTATCTTTGGTACTAAGCTCAGGGAAAAAAATTGTTTTACAACACACAGCCCCGGCTGTACAATATGCCATACACAGGAAGACCAGAGCGAACCTCTGTGGGTTTCGAGGAGGTTTTGGGTGGGTGTTTACCCAGAGAATCCCTAACCCCCCTCCTCCCCGTGCATTGCGTATTGCTGGATCAGGGCAGAAAGCAAGGGCTTACAGAGGCAACCGCTGGCAGAAGAGTTTTTTAATACATTGTACAAGGCACTTCATAAGAAATCTCTTCATTATTTTTTTTTCCTGTTCTCTTCTAAGACTCACTGGATGTCTACACTTGGCTCTTCCTGGTATCGCTTTATGGTTATAGTTTTTAAACTTCTTATTCTACATTCATGATTAGAAACCTCTGAAAACATTAATTCAGTTCACTTTTGCCTGCAGAATTTAGATGGCAAGCCACTTAAACCACCTAACATTTTCCAGGATGGGGAAAGGATTTTGCATCTGCCTTCTGCTGGTGTTTAAGGGGTGTTCTTATTTTGAAAGGTGAGAAGATCTGTCTTCCTGGAAGAACTCCTGGGAAGTGTCCACATTGAAATGCTCTTTGCAAAAGCGCATGGTCCTCCGTGCTGCCAAACACACCTGCAACTCCCATTCCCTTTGCAGCACTTGCCAGTCGACTGCCTCAGCATCCTACACCTCCGTTCCATCCCGGGTGTAGATGAGGCTGTTAACCGTGAAGTTGTAGTAGTGGTTGTACTGGGCTCCCTGGCTGCTGCTGCTGGGATGGAAGGAGCTGTAGTAGGCAGGGGAAGGTCCCGCAACCCGCTGCAGCTGGTCTGGCGAAGCCACCTCCTGAGAAGAGCTGCTGGAAGGGGTGAAAGTGCCACTGCTCAGCTGTCCAGCAGAGAAGTTCCTGTGATGCAGGTCACTGCCCAGACTCCCTGGCAGCCGGCTGCCTCCGCTGCTCAGGGAGCTCATGCCGCTGAAGAAGGTGCTGAGGCAGCTGGGGGTGGATGAAATGATCCCGGAGGGAGAGGAGCTTTTCGGATGGTCCCTGGCAGAAGGCGAGGGGTCCAGCTCTGGGGGTGGGCTGTTTCCACACGGTTTGCCGGCAGCTGGGATGGGTCGCTCTTCCTCAGCCTTCAGGCCCCCCAGAGAGGAGGCCGCAGATGCGGTCGCTGGGGCGTTGGGCTCAGAGCGCCGCTTGCGTTTGCGACGGAAGTTCCCATTGTCAAACATCTTCTCACAGTTGGGATCTAAGGTCCAGTAGTTTCCTTTCCCTGGTGGAAAACAGGAGAAACAAGAGAGAAAGTCAAATTCTGTGACAGCGAGCCCCGCTGCAGACAGATAAGCAATATCCATGTCTTGTCCGATCGGCACTGCACCCACACCTCTCCTACACCTGTTCCTCCTCTGTCTGTTGCCCAGCGCAAGGATCCAAAACCTGGCTGCAGGACATCATCACACCCGCTCCTCCGATGCCCAAGTGAACCTTAAGGCCACACAGAGGAGGAGAACCTCCTCACCACAGAGCATAATAAACCTCCCTGGAAGATCCACAACTCCACCTCAGGCCTGGCCAAAGGGAACGGGAAGCCGAGCTCCCCCTGCTCTGCCTCACAGCACGCAGGGGCACTTAGTCTGAGGGGGCTGTAGCGGCATTAGCTGTCCCCGCACACCTCTTGCCCGTGCCCGGGCCTGACGGGAGCAGTGACCCCACAAGGTCCCCCCAAAGGCCCCAGACCGGCGCGTCCCCTCCCTACCGGGCCGTCCCAGCACCCTCCCGGCG